ATTCAGAGAACAGGGTATTGTGTCTGTGGATTTATTGAATTGCTACTGTATCATATCAGTTTTTGTGTCATTCTTGTCTTACCTGACAAATGGGTTCATATTATTTTTTCTTCCATTTCTTTTTTGTTCAAAAAAAAAGTTCACAAGGTGATGTGAGCACTTAGTAAGTTTTTCTGTGATACCTTTGTTTTACATCACGTAACAACTGTGTTGTGGCATCATTTTGGAAATCACATCCATCTCAACCCTGCAGTTCTTTATTTCTTCAGAAATGCCTCTTTCTTCTTCAAAGCAGTGTTTCCATGAGGATGAAGCCAGCTTATGTGCTGGGCACTCCAGCACCTTTCTGTGCGCAAACCCTTGCTGGCTTGTTGGGTCTTTCCTCAAAGACACCCAGAGAAGATGCTGTACTGTGCAGTTGTTCCTGCTATCAGTAAATTCAGTCCATGAAAAATTAGCTGGGCTATATATTTTTCCATCACTTCATCTCCCAAAAGACCCACTAGCTTTCCTTTAAATGCCTCTCTAATGAGAAGAGATTTAATCTGACTCCCTACCCCCCTCAGTGATAATGGGTCTCAGTGAAGCCTGCTTGTTTGCTTGCTTGATTTCCCTCATCTGCTGTTCATCAGCCATTCCTTTTGAACTTTAACCCACAGAAACCCTATTTTTCATATGCTGGATCAGTCAAGAACCACATTGTTTTCAAGATGAGGAATGTGACGGTGCCTGCCGTGACTGTACCACAGTGTGCCTTCCCAGCTCATACAGCATGGATGGTGGAGAAATACCCTGTAGAAAATACTGGGTTCATGTAAAATTTTAAAGTTGTAGTGCAAAGGCAAGGAGAACTTAGAACCACTCAAGTGCGGGTGTTCTCATAAGGATGCAGGGACCTGTGGTTCAAGCAGGGAGCCCTCATCCCCAGCAGGCATCAGCAGTCAGGAAGAGCAGATGCCACCATGGGCTGAAAGGGTGGGCCTCCAGAGGGCCAAATTTGAGCACAGAGGTGAGAATGCCTGTCCAAAGCTGTACTGAAGCTGTATCATTTACTGATTTGGAACAGGGAATGGCCTTAACACGCGCTACTGCATGTGCCTTAGATGTCAAGCTCTCTTGTTTTCCTACCAGGTGATGCAACTCTTTTTCTGCATTCGTAAGTGATGTTATCTTGAGATGAGCAGGAGTGATTAGAGGTCTTGAGTGCCAGCACGGGCATCCTGTGGAAAGGCTGGATGTTCCAGAAGCATGTTTCTTTCAGATTTCTCAAGGCAGGCACAGAAAATGACTGTTCAGTTCACATTGACTCTTAACCCTGTTGAGATCAAAATTGACACTGTTGTACAAACGAAGAAAAAAAGCAAATTGGTAAAGCAAAGCCGTGCATCTGCGTTAGAAGTCTCTGCTCCCAGAAGTGCTACTTTCAACGCTGCTTAGTTGAAACTCCACTTCTTGTCCTTGTAGGAAGTCTGTGCTTACCACAGCACACAAATTATTTAACTAAAATTAATTTTCCCACTTGTTTAGTCCATAGTGACTTCCTGTCCTATAAATACTGCTGAGAAAGGGCAGGACCTTTTGGTTCCTGACACATTACCCACACCTTCAGATGCCACCAGTTTAATCTCTTTTCATTGCAGTCCATCTGAAAAATCCTTTCTAAGGAGGCTGTACACTTCCTATCTTCGTGTACCGTGCTCAGTACATTTCCTTTCTTTGCACTTTCAAATCTAGAAGATAGTGTTAACGCTTAAAATAAACGTGTGATAGTGGGTGCGAAGAGGGAATGGGGAGAACAAGTTTTCCGTCTGTCAAAATGAAGACATCAACCTCTGCTTTTATTTTTTTTGGCATGTGTGCTTTAAATAGAATGACTGGGTTGGGTGACTTCCAAGTGTTTGCTGCATTTGGCAATCCTTCTAAGTTGTAACAGATGAAGTTCTGCTGTTCCATATGATGTGCTCCTTCCCCTTTTTTCAGTGACTCCTTGAAACGCCTTGGGAATTCAGTGTAGCATTCACATCTGTTCCGTGGATGGATGTCCAAGGCTAACAAAATACCTACTGGACTTGGAGGCAGCTCTGCCAAAAGCCATATGGTTGTGTTTTAGTTTTGCAAGCAGAGTGCAGTAAAGAAAGGAGGTTGGGCCAAGAGAGGAGTGAGGGGAGGAGGAATGGAGCTTCAAATTGGTAAACAAAGGTAACTTTTTGTGGTTAGGGTTGTGAGTGAGAGAATGAGAAGATCACAGAGAAGAGGAAATAAAAGCTGTTTAGCATAGGTTCCTTTCTCAGTTGCTTTGAATTACACGACCCTCCTCTTCTCTGTGTAGGGACGTTGACTGCAACCTCAAAGCATGTTCGGTTTTGTGTACCTTTTCCAAAATGCCAAAACAGTCAGACAATGAGATGCTTCCTTTTGGCCTTGCAGGATCTGTCTCTTTGCTGAGAACCACGCGCAGAGCCCTTTTCCGTTCACCTGTCGAACACTGTGCAGCAGCACATGCAGTGTTTGACTCCCTGGGGTGGAAGGGACACTGAGCAGCTGCTGATACTCCCCTGAGCAGTCACCAGCTAAGGGCTGCTTGGGCTGTTTCCTTACCAGCCATCCTAGCCCATGTGAAATGTCAGCTTGCATTTTTAATAGCCACTGGACTTTTTTGTTTGAAAGAATATTATTTGTTGAATTTGTTCTAATTTCCATGAGGAGCATGGCTCATGGAGAGCTCTTACATATTACAACTTTACTAGGGGCTTAGAGGGAGGCTTTACTTAAATGCCCTGTCCTCTGCACATCCAGCACCCCTGAGGTGGAAAACACATACACTGATGTGTCATAAAGGTGTTAGAGAGGAATATGAAGACATGCTTACCCTGAAATATCTTTCACTGAGGATTTAAAATACGCTCTGCAGTGAAATCTAAATTTCAAGCTCAAGATCATAGGCAGAAAAGGGGAACCTGAAGGGTTTAAAGTTTGCGGAAAAGCTGCAGTATGTAAGCATGTAGATTAGAACAAAAGTTCTTGCTTTAAAGGTGCCTGATTTTTATCCATTTTTTGTCTGTGGAATTCTTTATAGATGTTGTCTCCAGTTCTGCTATTATTTGTGTAGAGCAGTGTTAACAAGTCAACCAAGGCAGTCACCCCATAGTGCAGGAAATTATCCAAAATGTGTCAAGAGGCAGGCTTGATCTGCAGGCTCTTCCGTTATCAGGCAGACAAGTGGTAGGAAAGAAAATGGGTCACCAAAGTGGGCTGATGGACGTAGGAACAGCCTGGAACCCCAACCTCCTCCTCTTTTTCTAGCTTGACCATTTTCTTCCAGGCAAATGCTGAACAACTCAACAAAGTTAATAATTTGCAGGCTGTAGGTGCCCTGCACCATCTCCCCCTGAAACACAGTTGCCACCAGAATAACTGCTATTATGCTCCATAAAGAATTTGAAGCCACTAAGATGGATTTGTCTCAGTTTCTCAGGAAACATCCCCTTGACTTTCTGGTATTTGGTATTCTTAGACTCTCAGTGTATTTATACATCATGTGTCATTGCAGTGCTTTCAGAATCCTATTCCAAAGAAAAAAATACTCTAAAATTCAAAACAGTGCATGTAAGCAGTGAAACTGCGTTTTGGTGAAGCTGAAAGGGGTGTGCAGTATTTGTGCACAGATGCTGTTTCTCTTGTCAGCTGCAAGAGTGTGTGTACTTTATGAGGGTGGCTGCAAGCCTCCTAAGAGGGCATTTGTTCACTACTGACTTAAAAGTAACAAAGACACTTTTTCATTATGTCAAATACGGGTAAACAACAGTAGCATGAGTTGTAATTGGAGCTTGTGAGCAGCTCATCTGTGATCTGTTCTGTTCCTATCCAGAAATAATACCAGGATGAACTCCTTTACTTTTGCTAGCATTATACAGGCTTGACTGAACTGTGTCCATTCCTTTTTTCCCTGCATCTAAGCAAAAAAACTGTCCTGAGTGTTTGCTTGGGATCAACCTCTGTGATGGGTTTGAAAAAAGTAATTTTTTACACATTTGCAGATACTTTCTTTTTCAAAGACTTACTTAGTAATGATGTTTTGAGAATAGTTTAGATTATTCGTAGACAATAAACATTCATTCTGAATTAAGAGCACTCAGATCTCCACCTTGAATCAAGAGAGCAGTTCTTGTTCCCCATCTGTGACTTCTGAAATGGTTGAGTAAGTTTAGTGTATATTTGAGCAAGGGATCAGCTGGCCTTTTGTGCAATGCTGCAGTGGCACAAAGAAGTATCAGTCCATCTCCAATACAAAGCTGTGGGGTTTTTGTGTGCTGTGTCTGTGAAACTGTTCTGTGGTTGCCCATTTTTGGTGAACAGGAGGAAAGTCTCCAGAAAGGCCAGCAGCAGTCATCCTAACCTGGGACTGGACTTCTGCTCTCCATCAATGAAAGATGTGTAGCCTGTTGAACTTGCTTCTCTTCCTCTCCTTGTGTTCCCAGAGGCTTGGCTCTAATACAGGCAATTCCCAAACACTCCTAAATGCTCCCAGCAACTTCCTAACTTCCAGCCTCCTTCTGTTCACAGCTGTGCTGTCTTTATTCCCGTGTCCAAGTGTAGCTGATATCTGTGGCAACAGCAGTAATAACCCACGTGGCAGTACAAGGGGGTGCAGAGCAGGGAAATGGTCTGTCTGTTTGTGGCTGCTGATCTCAAAGTGCTCTTAAGGGACTGGCCATAGAGAAAAGCCCCTGCACTGTGGTGCCTCTGTGGGATTTCGTATAACTCTTAAGTGTACACTTGAACTGCTTGAAGTCAGAGGGATTTTAATCACGTGCCTAATTTCACATAGCTGACACATGGTCTACACGTGCCCTGTCCTGCTCTTACCAGAACTGGAGAGCTCCTGTCTAGAATGATTTTTAGTACAAAATTTCCACTGATTCACCTTGTGTCTTGAGTTTGTCCCAGTATCTTATTTATAACTAAAGTTTATGATGTCTTTTTCTTCCTGTGTCAAACAGGGTGTCCCCACTGTAAAAATGCCATTCCACATTTCACAACTGCTGCTGAAGTCTTTAAAGAAGATCGCAAGGTAACTTGCTGTTAATTATTTCTGAGATATTTGAAAATTATTTCCACCATTTGTACTTTATAGGCTTTGCTTATTGATAAGCTGATAGGCTTGTAGATAAAATTGCTGTTACACTAATAGAAACATATCTGCATTTTAGGGGTTGTATCTTTTTTGGTCAAATTGAGTTACACTTTTAACCTATTCTGTTTTCTTTAATTTATTGTCTTTTGTGTTTAATTTTTTGTGTAAGAGTTCATTTCTATGAAGTGAGGAACAGTTCTTTCTCCCTGAGGGATTTAAAAAAAGATAATTTACATTGTCTCCATTCAACTTTTATCAGTCATTGGGGCGCATGTGGAGAAACCACAAGTTGTGTGGTAGTCCAGAAGACTTCAGTCGTGTAACTAATCCTTGCTTGCATAGCATAAATATAATATATTTCTGTAAGTTGGCTGACTTGAGCCCAGTATGTCAGGCTCTTCTAGGACCCTCATGCCTTGGCCTTGAAAATACATCTGATGACTGAAGCACATTGGGTAATTTCCTTGCCTCAGCTGAACCATTTTAACTGAGCCCATGCAGATCTAGGATTTAGAAAAAAAAACCCTCAGCACTGAGCCCCTGGATTTAACCAGATAAGCAGCTAGGAACCTTCTTGCTATCTTTCTGTGAACTGTAGTTCATTCTGATCTCCAAATTTGTTCTAACTTCACAGTTGCTTTGTGTTTAGGTATGGCATGGAAAAGATTTGGCAGTTGAATAGGGAACTTGTTCTCTCAGGCTCGCTGAGGAGGGAAAATAGGGAGGGAGGTGCTGAGCTCTTCCCCATGGATCCAGTGATACGGCACATGGGAATGATTTGAAGCTGTACCAGGGGAGGTTCTCACTGGACATTTGGAAGCATTTCTTTACCAAGAGGGTGATTAAACCCTGGAACAGGTGACCTAGAGAGGTGGTCAATGCCCCCCAAGCCTGTCAGTGTTTAAGGGGCATTTGGGCATAAGCCCTGAACAAAAAGCTTTAACCTTTGTTCAGCACTGAATTGGTCAGGCAGCTGAACTAGATGATCCTTGTAGGTCCCATCCAGCTGAAATAATCTATTCAATTCCGTATTCTATTTTAAATGAAGAGGTGATTTTGGAACAGTTATACGCCATAACAGAAGGATTTTTGTAAATTTATTTTTATTTTCCTCTCATCTGTTCTGTAACTCACAGAAAATACATCAGATTGACAAGAAACAAATCAGTCTTATATCAGTGACTGCATAAAATTAGGAGTCCATCACTTCTGCCCTCTGGCACACAGAAGATTCAGAGGCATGCAGCTTTTAGTTCTCTTACTGCTGTAAATTAGTTTGCTCAAATGCCTTTTGGTTACTTTTTTGTTTCCAAGATCTCTGAGAAAGTATCCTTGTTTTCCCACTCTTCTGGTAGTTCCCAATGAAGCCTCTCTTTCCTAAACTCATTAAAATTTCAGTCAGAGGAGATGAAACAAAAGTACCAAACAATGGGAAACTGGCTTATTAGAGCCCCAGGATGTATTAACAAGCAATCTGAATGATGGCACAGTTAGTGGGACATGCTGATGGTGTGAAATGCAGGCCTGGGAAGCTTTTCCTTCAGACTGCAGGTTATGAAAGGACTCTGAGAGCAGAGCAGTGATTGACGGTTGCAACTCTTGACTTCAGTTTAAGGCTGAAGTGGGGAGATATAAAATGTAATGAGTTGGAACATGAGAGCCAGTGGGGAATATTAAGGCTGGTACAGTTTTAAAGAGGTGTGTGCAGTTAGGGAAAATGATGTTATTCCACCCCAATGACTTATGAAAGTGCCAGGGATTGATTATCTCAGGAGCCCTATTTAATTGTGTACAGCTATAACCTGCCAAGGTGCTTCTTGCTGCCAGTTTGTGCCATTGTGGAAAAGAAAACAAACCTGTTTAAGACTTTAGAAGGGCAGATCGCTGTTCCCACAAGCAGCACAGGGCATATTCCCATGTTTCAAATTGTCTGAGCCTTCAAGGTAATTTGTAGTTCTGTAGGGTTTCAAACTTCTGTAAAATCACTGCTTAAGAGGAAGGAAGTATTTCTTCTTTAAAAACAGGACAAGATTAGTAATTTTCATTTTTAGTAGTAGTGTCTTTTTGCTACTTCATTTCTGTAGTAGTGTCTTTTTTTTTTTTCCCCAGAGAAAGGTTTTTCACTTTAAAAGAATATGGTAGCACTTAAACTGTATCTTCTTTTCAATAAGGGTGGTCTTTTAATTAAACATTTAATTTTGCAGAAGCCAAAGTACAATCAAAAACAGTCCAGCCTTGAATTGGTTATAAATGGTATCTTAAAAGGTATCCTTTGGGAGACTCGGATTCTTTACATCGGAATTTTGAAGACGAGCAGAGCTTGGAGCTGTTAAATGTGTGTCTTTGGCTCTGCAGATTGACTGTAGGGGGGTGGTTTTGGCACAGAAGCCCCCCCTTCCCCAGGGCTGTGTGTAATGCTCTGTACTTTTTCATCATGTGCACTGCTGGAGTCGGAGTTTTAAAATGCACTGCTCAGAGCATTGGCCCCAAATGTCAGCTCTGGTTGGCCACATCACTGCTGGTGGTTTTAGCAGGAATGCCGGGCCTGCTCGCAGGCCTGGGGCAGTTGTGTGGCTGTTGCAAAACACAGCTCGGGGTGTGACCCACAAACCAGAGCCTCCTCTCATCTTTCCATCTGCCTGGAGAAATTTGGTGCCAGTAACACCAGATCAGTGGAGAGGCCAGTCCAATAGCAGTTAACCTATTGTTTCAGTTATTTAAAAGGAAAAAGGAAGGGAAAAAAATCCATCTGGAGTATTCCTGCCTCAGGGCGCTGTGGTCTTTGCATACAGCTGCCAGGGGAGAGCCTTTGGCCGAGTTCTGGCAGTGACCAGTGCACGTCAGAAAATGCAAATGTGGGGATTGTCACATTGCTGAACAGATTGAAGAGCAGGAAGGCATGTTCAGTAACTGCTCCACAGTCTCTTGAACACTAAATCTTTAAAGAAATCTACATTCTGCCTTTTGGCTGATCCTAAAGTTCAGCTTGAAGGAACTGATCTGTGGTGTTCCAGCTTGGATTTGCCGAAGGAAAGCTCTTGACTCCTCAGGGCCTCTCAGTAACAAATCTCTGGCACCTCCCCATGGGGGCTGCTCTTTGACCAGTCTTCTACATTTTCACAGAAGAGTATTCCTGTACAATTGCACCACGGCTGGATTCTAGTGAGTTTGTGCAGGAACAGCTGTGGCAGAGATTGCTGGAAAGGGTGCAGCAAATGGGGTGAACTGGGGTGTTAATGGGTGGCTGCCAGACAGCAGTGAAACTGGTAGGTCCCCAGTGTGTACTGGAAACCGTAGTTTAAAATTATTGTACCAACCAAATGACTGTACAGTTATCCAAGTGAGTTAATATTTTAGTTAGGCCAAAAATTTGATCCCTATTTGCTTAAAAAAGCATGTGTTGAATTTCTTTTTAATTAGACTCATTAAATATGGTGATGTGAGCACTGTACATCATAGTGCCTGCTCATGGATCTTCCCTTTGCAAATAGCCCTGCTTTGAGAACAGCTGATGAACTGCAGCTCTGGTAATGCTGCCACGGCACATCTGGGCAACTAATAATCAATCTCCCATTTGCAAGGCCTTTCACTTTGAGAACTCACTTGAGTAGCTGAATTGCAACAAGCCTTAGCAGATCAGCTCCTAACTGCTGTTAGGATCCAGAACAGGTGATATAAAAGTAGAAAACTGTGGAGCAATCATAGGGAAGAAAGCGGATCTATCTTATTTATAGGTGCTTTAAAGACATTTGGCAACAAAAGGCACTTTCTTTCTAGTAATCAGGTAATTGTCATCTGGAAATTGACCATACTTTAAAAATGTTGGTTGGAAGCATTTATTTCCATGTTGCAGTTTTATTTTTACTTTTTTTTAAGCTTATCAAATATCATTCCTCTCTCAAATCAATATTCAGTTAGTTATTCACTTCCATTTTCATAACAAAAGTCAATATTAGCTCTAGCAGAGATTTATTTCCTTGAATCAATAAACCAGTGTGTGGCAGTACATATTTTAAGAGGAGAGCAACTAAGACTGCAGGGGGTATTTTTACTTTATTATCACGTGGTGACTGGGAGACAAGCTGTTAAAAAGAAAGAGCTTTAAGAACAGAAAGGAGGAGTTACCTAGAAGGTCAAGGGATCCCACTTTCAATTTTCTACACATTTATTTGAACCGTTGGATGTAATTGTGTTTCTTACCTGTAAGATCCCTCTAGAGCAAAAAAGTTGTTTCGTAATTCTGCTGGAAGGGAACTGTGATTCCTGATGTATGATTAGATTAGACTGCAAGTACTTATTTTTTCCTCTAACACTTAGTAACAAAATAAGGCATCATCCTTCTGTTACAGTTGAGGCACAGTTGAGATCAGTGCTCACGTTTTCAGCATAGCTCCACTCCTATTTAAGCACCTAAATGAAAAGTTCTGATTTTTGCAACAGCTCAGCATCTGTGATCAGACCACTTCATTTGAAAAATATGCCATGCTCTATTTCCTGTAAGAGCTCTTCAGAGCTGGTCATGCACTGCTCGTGCTCTAATGCCATGCAGGGTTAAATTTGCAACTCGGTAGTTAAGCTCCCAATTTTTTGGTAAAACCATGAAACGTTGTTGTGGGACTTCTCTTTTCAGGTAGATATATTTTCAGATCGCAGATATTTCTAGAGTCATATTCAACTATATTGACTATGGAGAAGTGTGTACTTGTCTGATGGGATTATTGTTGTTGCTGTTGTTATCATTATTATGCATTATTATACATACTCACCTGATATTATTAGTTATTATAGGCTGCATACCAGTTGTGAGGAATTGCCTGTAACACTAAGAAAGTTGAATGTACTCCAAGAAACTTATTCTGGGGTCCACAGTCTCTGATTGATTATCTTTTCATTTGATAACTATTCTATTCCTGCTACAGCTACTGAACAGTATTGGCTCTGGAGAGAGAACTTGTATATAATGATGTATTGTCAATATTTAAGGCAATGAAGCTTTAGGTTATAGAGAATCCATAATCCCTTGGAGTTTTGTGCATGTTGCAGATACAGCACTAATGTTTTTTTCTTCCTGAAATGTTTTTCAGTGGATTTTTCTCTCTGGTTAGAGGAAAGCTCAAGAAATTAAATTTTAGCCCTAACAATCAAAATCTGCATAAAATCAATCTTGTCTTCTGAAAGTTGTTAGGCTGGCTTTTTCCATAATGGACACATACACAAGTGTTAGACCAGTGTTTGCAGAGTTTCTTTCTCTTACAGATTTTTAGAGGGTTTTTTTTCCCCTCTTGATGAGAGGGAATTCATGAGAGGTGATGCCAAGTGTCTTGGCTCCTGGGTATGTATCAGGGATGTCTTATGTTTGCAGTTTCTAGTTGAATAAAGTTTGTGGGTTTATAGGTCAAAGCATGTAGGTCTTGCTAAACTGTGCTTTCCAGTGAACTTATCTGTAAATTGTTGTTGGTAGTTGAAATGAAGATCAATTCTGAGAGTAATATTCTCCAGAAGTCTTTAATCACATTTTGATAGAGGTTCTTCGGGTTGTTGTTTTTTCCCAACTTAGTTTTCTTCTTTAGTGATGCAGAAAAACTAATTGTTGCTAAGAGGATTGAGAACGAGGGGAAACTCTCCCTACAGTGGATCAAGCAAAGCCTTTCTTTTTGTGGCTGCATCTTTTCATGTGCAGCCTTTCACTGTAGCCATGCAGGAATTCACTCTGCTGGAAGCTGCAGTAGGAGACACCTCTACCAGCAGTGGAATTTAATACTCATGGTCCATGAAAACACAAACAGAAAGAAGCAAAGGACATCGGTGCTGTTTACTGAAATTCTGGTGTGTCTCAGAGTTCAAGTCTCTGGAGTTGATAGAACTGAGATAAGAGTTGGTCCTCAGTCCAGAAGTGTGTTTTGCTACAAGTGTTTTCCAGCATTACTTTTCTCTTCTTTGCAGTGCACTATATTTGATCTTCCGCTGTGAGACAGGCAAGACAATTAGGGCTGTGACGCTATGATAATGAGTGCACAGAGATGGTAGCAACCTCTATATTTAGGCTGCCTTAACATTTCCACTCTAAAGTAATCACTCAAGCTCTCCTAAGTACTCTTACTCAGCCACTGTTGGCAGCAGGCATTGAAATGCAGCCTCAGATACAGTCTTGGGAATTAAGATGTCTCTCTGTGAATTTCGCTCACGTCCCTATGAGTTACAAGGCTTTTGGAAATTGCCATTTCTCTCCTTCCACTGGCTATAAAAATAACCAAACGAGTGTGTTCTGAAGAGCTGGGCTGCAAGTGGTGTTTGCAGGAGCAGCAGTGAGTCCGTGGGGCTGTGTGGGAGCTTGCATTGGGAGCATTGCAGAGAAACAGACCGTGGACATGTCCTCCAAACACTACTCCAGATGTACCTGTCCCATTAGAACTGATAGATTAGACTTAGCATTAGGCTAATGTTGCTGTTGTGGACAGACTTAGACTGGGATCTCTGTGTGTTACTTCAGTGCACAAACAAATAGTGCACAGATGGACCAGCTTAGGTTTCCATGTGCCATAGAGGGGATCTGTATCTCAAGCATTTCTGCCAGAAGCTGCCTCCTTAAAGTCCCTCAGTCATCTGTTTTGAGGCAGCAGGTCAAGATGTGTTGAACAAGGTTAACAGTGACTTACAGCATTGCATTTCTGCTCTCTACCCTCTCCTCACTGGGAGCTGTTCTCACGTAAGCCTTTTGTAAATGAAATTGGACTCTTTGCTCCAACCAATGCCAGTTTAGATGTTTACAGAGAGGTAAGCATCTGTTTACAGATAAAGAAGGCTTCTCTTCCTTCCAGTGTACTAAAAACTAATTTTCTTAATCTCCAGGACACTAAGAACAGATGGGTCATCAGTCACAGCAGTTTCATGCCTCAGACCAGCTACTAATACCTGGATGAGTGCATGTATGCCCCCCCCCCTTCTTCTGGCTGTAATCACTGTGTGATATTTACAGCAGTAAGGAAAAATCATTTTATTTATTCTTCTGGTTTTTAGGGAACCAGGACTTCTAATACTCTTTCTACATTAATGCTGTGTCATGAAATAAATGTTTGTCTCCATTGTAAGCTATCTTTTACACAGAAGTAGCCAACAGAGCTCTAAATTTTGGCTGGCTGCTAAGGTCAGGAAGGCATAAATACTTAGATGAAGCTCTTTTACAGTTTATTATTCTTAACCTTTCGTTTTAACTGGCCTTGAATGAGTAGGAGTTTTTGTGTTTATAAAAAGAAAAAAAAAGTGGGATCATACATGTTTTTAACGACTCTCAAGAGTCCTGGTTCTGTAATAGCCTTATTAATGTTTAAAATGGGAAAACAGAACCCAAATATTTAAGGTAAGAGCACTGCTCACTTTATCTAGCGCTTTCCATCTGAAGATAGACCCAAGCGAGATCTTTACTGAGTATTGTCTTGTCAGGCTTTCAAAGCCAAAACAAAACAAACAAATTAAGTGAAGTTGGCCTTGCCCATCTCTTTAATTACTGCTCAGATAATGAGATCAGGTTTTCTCGTTTTGACAGTGTCACCATGAAACAGGAGGGCATTGTTGAATATTAAGTGCTCTTTTAATTATGGAAGAACAGTTCAACCACAACCCTAAAGTCGTTCAAGCAAAAGGTATTTTGATCAGATTGTTTGAAGGAGGCGCCTGGAACGGAAATTTCAAGTTAAGATGTGTCTGCTGTGAAATTAGCACTTGATAAATTGTAACCCACGATTGCAGAAAGTCGTTCCTCTAATTTGGTGGGGTTTTTTACATAGCTTGTACTATAACCTGCTTCCTCTTCAGCAGTGCCTGTCCCAGGCTGTGAACACAGGTCTGCGTGAGCAGTGCACGTTCAGAGCCACAACTGCTTCTCGCAGGAACAGTCAGGGTGAAATCACAGCACAGGGCCCAGTTGCTTTGAGTAGGAGCTAATGAATTACATTTTATTTCAGCATTGGAAATGTTAAGGGCAGCCCCTCCTCAGTACTTCACAGAGTCAGGTTTCAAATGTCCGGTGCTCTAAACTAGGGTTGCCCTGAGCCGATGCTCTGGGGCTGTGAGGCTGCGCTTCCTCGCCCTGCCCTGTGTGGAAACAGGCAGGGATGGAGGGTGTTGCTCTGCTGCCAGCAGGCTGAGAGCTCTTTCCTACTCAGGGTTTGTCTGTGTGACAGTAGCATCTAGAGGTTTCCAAAGGAATTAAAGCCCACTTTGCTAATGGCTGCACGTAACTACAGTCCCCTCCTTAAAGGATAGATGGAAAAAAGACAGGAAAGGAAACATAAAAACAGGCTGAGATTGCAAGCAAGCAGCCTTCCTCTCTGTGTGCACTGCCTGGTAGGCAACACTCTCGCTCTCATGCATCCACGTTTGACCTTGGAAGAAGTGCGTGGAGTTTACAAAAGCTATTTGGGGTAGAAATCATTAATCTATTTATAGCCTGCATAAGTGACCTGCCATTTTTGGTAACTTTGCCAAGCATTAGCCGTGCCACAGGAAGGAGGTTGGGATAGGTGGGTTGTTACTGTTACCAAAGTCATCCTGTCACCGTTCATCACTTAAAACCAAAGTGGAGGAAAAATATTGCAGAGTGGCAGAGCTGTGACCGCTGTGCTTGGATTTGGTTTTACTAACACAGTCTCTGGATTTCCTGTTGGGAGTCTACTGCAGAGCTCAGTGGGGAGGCTGGGAAGGTGGTTTTCTGTTCTGTGGGTTGAACGTGCTGTGCAGCTGCATAAGCCAGGTGATGACCACGCTGAGATCTCCCTCCACAGCTGAGGCCTTACTGAAACCATTGTGTGCTTGGCAGAAGACTTGGGTCTTACTCAGTGTTAATGCTATAAGTTGCAGCAGCATCACCATGAAGTAGTTTTGCTTTGTCTTCTCCTGCCTCAATCTGATCTCTTGTGTTTCAGATCGCCTACGCTGCAGTGGACTGTGCCAAAGGACAGAATCACGACCTGTGTAAGCAGGAAGGGGTTGATGGCTACCCCACCTTCAACTACTACAACTACGGGAAGTTTGTGGAGAAATATACTGGAGAAAGAGGGGTAAGTGAAAGCAAGAGTCATGACCTGGTACAGGGAGGAAAGTCTCCTCTGCCTGCACTGCCTTGCTAATGCAAAACACGGAGTAAATTTGCACCATGATGGAAGAATGTTTAGCTGCTTCTGTTACTGTCTCACATGGATGAATCATTGTGTACCACACCCCTGTACATCTCTGCATTAGGAACATACTTGGTCTATTTTTAGGAACGTGAGAAGAGGAAAAAAGGATTAGATTTGGTAATGCTTTTAGTATATTTCATGTTTTAGGCTGAAGTCTGCAAGTGAATTTGGACCGAGTGAAAGTGGAGGGTTTATTGCATGGGCTGCTGATGGGTGCAGAAATGCCAGAAATCACAGGACCTACCCTTGTCCATTCTGGATCATGCAAACGTGTTACAGGTCCACCAGGCTGCCAAATGGTGACAGACCATTGGTTTTATAGCCACGACAAAGCTGTCCTTTGGAGTACAGGGGAAACTAAATATCTCATTTGCCCTGAATCAGATTCACTCCTGGCATTCAGGATGGGAAGACAAATTGTGCCATCTACCCCTGGGCTGAAGTTTCATTCTTTTGTCCTGCTGTGGCCAGCTAATTACATGCTATGAGTGCAAGAAATGGGGGCAGAAATGGCATAATGCCTACTGTGGTTGTAAAATGCCTGAAAATAAGGGAGCAATTCAGTCATTTGTGGGCCTTCTTTGTCATAACCTCCTAGAGGGAGGTTACTCCTCAAGCAGCAGTTGATTGCCTGGAAAAGCTGGGATATGCAAGAAAAACATGGGGTCTTTGAGCCATCCAGTGATTTTGATAAAAGATTCTTCACTGGAAGTTATTGCTGCTGTTACAGCTCACCAAATAATATAGAAGCATGAAGAAGAAAGCCAAATTCTGAAATTCTGTCTTAGTCAGGACCGTAGGGAAGTCTTGATGGAGCTTCTCTTTCCAGTTTTCTTCAGCATACTTGGACCCCAGTAATTACCTTTCCACGGTGCTGATCCAGTCGTTATGGATACTGCGCTTAGTTCCAATTCTGGATCTTTTCTCAAAAGTAAAGATGGGTGCAGTAGCCAACAATTAAGTAAAATTTCAGCCTTGATTTTTGCATCTCCAACCCATACTTAGAGAAATGATATATTAAAGGAGGGCTCTGTGGTGGCTGATAAAAAGAATTTATATACAATACAGGAGTGCTCTGAGGCCACAGCAGTTGGGAGATGTTTATCCATATGCTGGAAAGTGGGCTAACTAATCCCCTACGTGCAGCCAACCCTTTCTTGGGTAGAATTAAATTACCAAACAGGAACATCACAGTCTCTCTGCTGCTGGCAGCTGTGTTCCCCCTCCACCTCTCTGGGGACCCATGGTCTTCTGCTTGTGCAGCACTGGATTAGGGTTTGTTATCGCTTATCATGGCAGTGCTGGAGGCAGTGCTTAGCACAATGCCTTCCATGGCTTCCAGGTCTGTTCACAAATCTCTTTCAGTGACAAGGGATTTTGCTTTTAAGTGACTTCTCATCAGCATGACAGCAACTTTTGAACCACCTTGTCCAACTGTCTTGTGCTTTATAAAATGAGAGAGCAGACGAGCCAGTAGACCTGCTCTCTGCTCCTGATGCTGGCACTAAATCAGGAGATGTCCATGTGCATTTGGTTCAGTGGTCCAGCTGGTGCATCATTATTTCATGTGGGCAGGGAAGAAGAGGGGTGATGTCAGCTGCTTTGGGGGCAACATGACGTGCCACGGCAGGAGCCATGGCCCATAGAACAGGAGCTCTCAGCTACTTGCCACCCCACACTGGAGCACGGGCTGTGGGGAAGAGCATGACCCCCAGTCGTAGCCTGTCAAGGGAACTGCAGTTTCGGAATAAAGAGTTTAAGGCATTTCACCCCAAGCAACCAAAGCAAGGAAGAGTCAGGACACCCTCTGACCCAAGTGTGTTTTAAATGACTTCCAGATGCACAGCTTTGGAGACAGGGCTCCTTTCGTGGGGGCCCTTGATTGCCAGGTGTCTCCAGGTGACATATGGCCAAAACTTGTCATTTCATTTATTTTCGGTTGAACAACAGTGAATAGTTTTAGAAGAGTGTTTTGTTGTTCAGCCTTCTAAAAGCATCCCAGCCTTGTGGCTTCATTTTATTTTGTTTTCTTTGTTTTGTTGTTCCCCAGCGTTGTTTTAAGTCAAACTTTGACTTCTGTTTGGCTTTCTCTACCTCTCTGTATTTTCCCTCTTCATCACCAGTTTTGACTGGTGTATTTCAGGATTACTTAGAAGTAAAAATGGTCACACTGGGTGGGAACAGTGCTACTTGCCCAAACAGCTGTAGTGCTGGGGTACCAGTAGACAGTGTTCACACCTCCACCCATCTGAGCCTTTTGAAATGCCTGTGAACTGTGTTCAGAGCTTTCCTTGGAAAACAGAACTGCTGGCATCCAACAGCCTTATGTAACCAGAAATCGTAAGTTGTCGGAATACAGAGGTTGGCTTTTTGGCATCCAGGTTTGAAATTTTTGACAATAATTTGAATGACTTGAAAATAGTGTGATTTCCATCATTCGAGTGTTTGGAAAAGGAGGAAAATCATCATCAAAGCTGTTAAGGGATGAGGAACAGTGGCAAATGTGTGTATAGCCAACAAATGACCCACTGACTGCTTTCAGAATTACACAAGTAGCATATAAATGCAGCTCAAAAATGTCTTTGTGTATCTTCAACAAAAAGGCATCAATGGCACTTCTACTGACAGATTTTACTTTGTCCTCTGAGTTTTGGGGCCTTTTTCTCTGTGTCCCACCTCTTCAAAGTTTGACATGTGGAATGTGCATGGATATTTTCGCCTTGTGTTGCAGCAGAGCAGCACTGGGACCAGAGCATGGCACGATGAGGGAATGCAGAAGCAGTAACCATTCCTCAGTTTATATTCTGCCATGGGGTACAGAAACTAAACAACTGCTCCTTAGTTTATATTCTGCTGGGAAACTGAAACTCAGAGTGTTCTTGATGCATTGTTTTGGGTTGTGTGCAAAAATGTGACATGTATTTTTCTTCCTTCAAAACCAGGAGTCTGGATTCACCACTTTCATGCGAACCCTGAGAGAAAGAGACCATGAAAGAGTAGGAAAGAAGAAGGATGAATTGTAGTTTCTGCCTCAAAAGAAGCTTTCCGCTGCACTGTGAATGGTTCCAGGTCCTTTGTTGATGCACCTGAGACTTCACATATTCTCAAGACAGAGACTTTTTTTTTATAAACAGCCATGGCCATTTTGTACAATTTTGAAATAAAGTGAAACCACTTGATTTTTAAAAGGAAAATAAATTAGAATGTTGCCATAACGTTTTAAAGAAAACTTTGCATTTTCTCTCATGTTGGGAGACTATGCCCACTGACACTCCTATGCAATATTTTTGTAGTCTGTAGTGTGTCCATAGGTGATGTTGTTCGTTAGGGTGAATTTTTTGTTAAGGTATTGCAGTACATGTAAAAAACAAAAGGTCTGGTTTTGTTTCATTTTGTTTAAATCAGTGAAGGAAAATGGGATTTGTAAGACAGAGATTTATCCAAATGCAGTTTTACATTCTTGTGAAATAGTTACATGTTCTTGACTGAGATTTGGGGGGGAACAATTTTAAGGTGCTCAGGGATAAATAAGGTATCTTAGTTAATGAAGACATTAACATTGACCAGTCCAGATCTGTTAATGTCATTTAAACATCTCTGGTCTTTAAATCAGAACTGTTTACATACCTTTATAAAATGTATTGGGTGAATTAAGCCAAGCATCAAAAATAGCAGAGCATGGGTAAAATTAAACTAAACCCTCCTTTTTTGACATCAGTATTGTCAAATGCATCTGTAAGCTATGGTAGGAATGATTATCTTATAGGGGTACATGGTGACCCTTATAGGGTACACAGTTTCTCTTCAAATTCTGATTGGGTCATGTCAAATATGTGTTGGAAAGTGTAATGTTCAACTGTTTTGATAAATGGATAGTACTTCTGATAATGCAGTAATTGTGTATGTTACATGTTTACATTCCTAAAGTTTATCGGCATTTGTAGGAGGGATTTTTTCTTTTTTGCTCTTTAAAGAGTTGCACAAACAATCTCTCTGACAGTCATCACTGTAAAACCTGTATCAGCAGCAGTTGAAATGTGTTACACTCTTGATGCTTAAACAACAAAAAAATTGATCTGGAGGTACTTATGTCTTCACAGGAGGGGAGAGGGAGGGGCAGGAAGTTGTGATTCATGTTGAACTGAAAATAAATTTTAAAAGAGATAAGTATTTTTATCATTAATCAGCCTTGTTCAGCTTTTTCCCCACTGGAAGTGATTTAGGAAGAGCCAGCACGTGCAGGATGAGTTCTCAGCATACGCCTTGGCTGGGGACAGCCGGGTGTGGGTGTGCTGGGCAGCACAGGAGGGGTGTGAGGTCAGCCTCCCTCTGCCCTGGTACTCAGCAGGAGGACAAACAGCTTTTTACAGCAGAGAGCTGTGCCTTGGGTCTGAAACTTTCCTCTTGCTCCTCAGTCTTCCCATCTCATTTTCTTCTGCTAGTTTGGATCCTCGCTGCTGGGCTGCTCAGGAGGTGAACGGCATCTCACCTCTTTCCTGGGTGTTTTTTCCTCCTCTCTCTTGCCTAATTAATGGCACTGTACATTTGGCACTTGTTAAGCTGCTGAAGCCATTAGTGAGCATTGTGGAATACCAGTAGCCTGATTGGCCTTGTATGGTAGCCAGCTTGTTAACCATGACATCAGTTGGAATGGCCATGCCAGCTATCTTCTCTTATTAGGCACCTAAAGCGTCTTCACTCAAAAAATCAGCTGCCTCATAGTACATAATATCATAAAAGTAGCTTAATTTGTTAAGTCTCTTACTGTGAGTTTTTTTCCTTACAGTTAGCATGGTTACTTCATGTTGTGTATAGCACTTTTGCAGAAGATGATGGTAATTCTTTATTTCAGGCTATCCTTGCATTAGTAGCAGGCATTCTGCCCTGCATTTAGGAAACAATACATACTGATGCAATTTGATCTCAAACAGGAATTCTTTTGCTTACCAGGAAACTATCAAGTGTGATCAGTCCAGAACTTAATGCATTTTTTTTGATCTCAGAGCAGCTGGCACTAAAGAAATACAGTCTCTTGAAAACGTTGAGCATTTCTGTACTTAGGCTGTGCCTATGTTTGTGCTAATTGCTGAGAAATGGAGACTTATAAGAAAAAAATGATAACTTGCCAATGGTGACATCACTAGTCAGGATCATTCTGAATTATAGGCTTTAGTAAATGTTTAGGATAAGACAATTGCACACTGTGCTTCAGACCAGTAATTCCTTACAGCTGGTTACACCATAATAAAATTAAAGATTCTCATTTTTCCCTTCAGTCTTTTGTCAGCTACTTCTTGGACTTGGGCATTCATTTTTTTTCTTGGCTAATCGTGTGTTAATGCACAAATATAAAATATTTGAGAATAATTTACCTCCTCTTACAGGGTCACGACTCATCTGGTTTATGGTCTGAATGGTTTTTGAATAATACAGTTTTGAACACCATAAATGATTACATCAAATGGCTGACAAAAGCCTTAGTTACTGTGAACTAGAGTGTACCAGGAGCTCTGAGCTTTGCTTGCAAGCCTTTTTAATTAGTTGACCAGGTCTGGATATCAGTCACTCTGTTGTAATTCTGTTGCCTCCAGTAAAGAAAAAGCTGGTGTTTATATTTGCTAATCGAGTCAGTTTATGTTTATATTTGCATCAGTCATGTTGAAATTGAAATACTTCATATTTTTCCTACAAATAATGGAAAGTGTCTTATATGTAAGAGCTCTTTATTTGCTGTAATTAAATGGTTGGCCATTTCACACATTCAGACTTTACAGCCCATCCCAGTAGATGCATAGCCCAGCCGTTCATAATCACACAGGAATTTCTGCCGTGGTTAAAAGTGAGTAATCTGGGCTTTCAAGTCATGAATCATTTATCAGCAAGAAACTTAATTGCTGATAACAAATGGTTTGCAGTGAATCAGAGATTCTGCTCTTGCAATTATGGGTTGGTCTTTCAGCCTTTTTAAGGTGTGATTCAAAGGTCTTGGACATCCGCTATTCAGTTAACCCTAAGCAGATTAAATCTTGTTGAGGAAGGGTAAAACGTGTACACAGCAGAGAGACTGAGCAAGGATTGTGCATCACTTTGTTCCTCAGCATTGGCTTAAACAAGATACAAATAGCCCACAGGGCTGTGCTACTCCTGCTGTGCAGTTGGACCAAGAGACAAAGGGCAGCAGGACCAAGCGTTTTGTGCAGACTGGAAGCAGCTGGATAGGAAATGGTTCCCCCATCTAATAAAAGAGACTGATATGTTGGATTTGTTTCGTCCACCAAAAAGAGGGAAAAGGGAGCCTGGAAAAGGTCCAGGGGAAAGTGAGTGCTCTGGCATATGGGAAACACAAGTTAGAGTTCCAAGAGGAGCATAAGCTTGTATCCCAGCCCCTGCAACCCAAGTGGATAACTTGGCTCTCTTGTAAAGGGGTTTTCCATCTATCTCTGACCCATGGTGGAACCATGTCCTTACTTGTTCAAACTAGAGCAGCTCCTTCAAGAAGGACTGGAGACTAGAAGAGACTTGCTTTCCAATCTGAATCAAGAAAAGCAACTTAGCAGATCTCCATTTCTTCTTTCCTCCCCCTGTAAAATTGTATTTTGGACCTGACAGCCCCATTGACCCCCAAGCCCCTCCTAAATAGTTGCAGTTGGGTGAAACAGCCTTGAGAATTTTTCTAAACTCCCACTCAGACCACGTTAAGTCCCCATATCTTGCTGACTTAAAATTCTCTCAAGTAGTCATCCACAGAGATAGATTGATATTAATGGTGAAAAAAGATTAGGGGTAAGGTCTATGTTCTTGCAGCATTTAATTTGGGAGTAAAAAAAGCAGATACAACTCCCATTATGAGTAAGCTCTAAGAGAATGCTTCAGACACAGTTGTTTCAGATGGAATTGTTTCCTGGGTGATTTTGATTTTAGAGGCAAACTGCTTTTCAAAAGAAAAGTCAAGACCTGGTGACATAGCCTGCAGCTGTTTTGTCTGCTTGCCTTTTAAAAAATAAAAAGCAAAATCACTCTCCATATTCTTGATAGTGTTATATTACGAGAAAGAAATGTTGCCTACATGGATTTCCTAGAATAACACTAAGGCCTTGCCAACTGCATTTTACAAACTATGAAACAAGCTATTTGCTCAAAACGGCACTCGGGGGAGTGGGGACTGCTGCCCACGTGCACCTCATTTTAATTTAATAGGCTTACTTTAGTGAGATTGGGTCTGTAATGGAACACTGGGATTGCAGGAGTAAATTCTGAAAACTGAGAGGTGGGGGGAAATTAGCTTTTATCAGCAGGTGCTGAGCATTGTGGCTAAACGCTGGCATTCCCTTTGCCTTTGGCAGCCCAGCATCCCTGAGCGTTCCATGGCTCTGCTGGAACCACGGGAGTGCAGCCCTTTGGCTAATCCGGTTGTGTACATAACTGCTCTGTGCTGGAACTGACGGGAAACCAAAATTTGTCCTGTTATTTTCTTTGGTCATGAGAAGATTCTGTGTTTTCTCTGTGCATCGTGCTTGTATTTACTGAGTGAGGAAGGAGGGTACCTGGGTGTCCTCAAAGGAAATTACTCTAAATGCCATTTTATCTGCTGGCAGCCAGGATTCCTGGGGACTGACCCGTGCTGCTGAAATACTCCCTTCAAAACACCTTCAACTGGCTTGGCTTTTGCCAAGGTTTTGGCAGGCACTGTGTGATGCAATATTGCAAAAAAATCTCAGTATCTAAGGCAGCATTTTCCAGCCCCTGGTTTCCGAGGAGTTAAGCTGAAGTGTAAACTCTGTATTCATCAGCACAGTGTAGCTGTTTTGAGATCAGAAAAAAGGTGGTCTGTTAGCCCAAAATGTAGGAAAACACAGCTCTAATGCTGGCCCATAATTAAAGCCAGGAGGGTGTCTGGGTGTTTCCACTCAGCTGCTGGACCTGGTCCTTGGTTTGTAAGATTCCAGCCTCTGGAAGTCCTCTGTGCTCCTGTCCAGAGCACTCACCACTCCAGCAAGGAGACGGCACTCCTTAAGGAACACTTATTCTGTGTTTGCTTAGAAAGCATCATAGTGCTAATTATTCTCATTAGCTTTGAGCCACTAATAAATTATCTTTCCTATTGCTCCTCCATCACTCAGTAATGAGAACCGTTTAGCTAGATTTTGCAGATACTGCTTGCTCCCTCTCTCTACAGCACAATTCCCTGCAAGCATTCATCATAGGAAAAGAGCTACGTGAACAAAATCTTTTCAAATTAGTCTCTGGTGCCCCAGTTAAGTGGGTGTCTACATCGCAGGCATGCAGAAGAGCCTTCTTCATTAATATGTGCAATTCTGCGCGAGCTGATTAGCTCTTGCAGCTCATTTGGTAGCAAATGTGTAAATCCGTCACACTCTAAATGCCAAATATGTGCACAGCTAAATTATGGAGAAGTAAGGAACTGCAAGAGTTGGGAGTCTTTATTTGGAAAAAGAGGTCCTTATCCCATGCATTAAATTGGAGCTCTGGATTTATCCAGAGCATTTGTCACTCCTCTGCTTTGTCATTTTTTTCTGCTTGCAAAATGAATAATCCTTCCTGGTGTGTTGCTGGTCCTTTCAGTATGTGTGGGTGTTTAATTTGGGGCCCAACATTTGTAACAGGCACCTGGTATCCAGCCTCAGTTCCTGTGACACAACAACAGCCACAGCACAATGCAACCTTCCTTGGGCAGGACGGAAAGCCAAACTAATCAGTTACAAACTATGTATTATTAACAATCCAGTTACCATCACTTTCCTTGTTCTCTTTAGTTTGTAAAACAACTTGTGAAGAAAAGGGGGGTGATGAAAATAGGGGTTTTTTAAATGTCCATGTTTTTTAACCAGGGCAGGGCTGCACAGTTAAATTAATGTCATCATGTATCTGCCAGCACAAGGGAAGCACTAAAGAATGTCACCTGTCAATGGGGAGGGGCTGGTCTGCTGCTGCAAACACTCGGCCAGTTACTCCGGGACCAAAGAGGGAAACTGGCCTTAAGAGCTCCTAATTTATGCATGCTTTTCATCTTCTCCATGCCAAGTAGCTGCAGAGCCAGCCCTGTCTCAGGGCCTGGACACACCAGCTCAGGGCAGCCAAGCACCCTCTGTTTTATTTTCTATTGGTGAGCAGAGAAATCACAGCTCAGACCCAGCTTGACCTCCAAC